TGCGGTGCCCCTGCCGGGCCGGGCCTGCAGCGCGCGGCAGGGCACCCGGGGGCCCGGCCAATTCCCAGCTGGCGGGGAGGGGTGCACCGGGGCACGGAAAGTGGCCCGCAAGTCCCCGCAGCGGGGCAAATGGCTACAAGCGCCGCGCGTCGGGGAAATGAGGGAGTCCACTGCGGAGAGGCTGGCTCCCCGCTCCCGAACCGGCATGTGGGGGCAGTGTGGGTCGCAGCCGCATTTGGGGAGTCCGTGGGGGACACAGTAACATGGTCGGCGAGGATGCACTTAAGGGTGGCAGAAGGGTCCAGGCAATCGGGTTGCGGTCAGTTGGGGAGCAGAGGCGCGACATTGGCGGGAGGGTAGAGGCGGGCGGTGGAGCCTTTTGGGAGGTTTTACGGCGTCCACCGGGCGGGGGGCTACCGCCCCCTGGTGGCAGCTGCGGGAACATCTCGGTAGCAAGCAGGTGACCAAACGCCTGATGGCTTACATACAGACCAGGAACCCAGAAAGTGAGCATTGCCCTCCTACCACTCCCATGTGCAGCCAAAGAGCTAGATAATTGGACTCTGGGGGTGGGGGGTGCTGGTAGCTCTTCCTCTCTATCCCCCAGTGTGTGGAAGGACCACTCCTCTTAAGGTGGACGGTGAAGTCCCTGCTTAAGGAAGGCGTGCAGAATGCAATGCCCTCCCAGCTGGGGCCACGCTCCGATTTGGCTCACCCAGCTATTACCCAATGAAAGCCACTCATACACTAGTTAAAACTAAGTCAGATTTTTTTTTATTATTTTCCATAGACCACATCATTTAATAATAAAAAAAATAAAAATAAGAATTGAACAAAAGGAAAAGGTGGCTATAAAGTGGAACCGGTGGGTGGGTTGGGGGGTGGGGGTAAGAGGCAGGGGCTGCAGGACAAGACTGGGAACTGCAGGGGCCCGGGGACTCAGGAGGAGATGCTGATTCAGCTCATAGGTGACCCAGTCCTGGCCCCGGCTGTTCCCAAAAGGAGGCTGTTGAATACCCCAAGGCGGTGATGAGTAAGATGGAGAAAACTGCAAGAGGCATGGGGTACCACCTCCGGGCCAATCACCTCCCTTCCTAGCCTAGCTCTTCCCTCTTAGAAACTTCATGGGAAAGGCCAGAGGAGATGGCTAAGGCCCAAGACAGGGAATAGGGAGGAGGGGTGGTGGTGGCCAACTGCTCCATTTGATATGTGGGGACAGGTGGCAGCCATACTTCAGCACTGGGCAAATGGTGTGAAAGACCCTTGGTTCCAAGGTGGTGGAGATTGTACCTATCCCTGTGGCCTTCTGCTCCCCTGGGGCTGGGTGGCTGAGGCCTGCAGCTCTCGCCTGGTCTTTCCCGGGCTAGCGGCGCCCACCCCTGTCGCGCACAGGTGTGCTCCGACTCCGGCTCCTGCTATGGCGCTTGGTGTCTCGGCGATCCCTCTCCCGGCCTCGTTCCCGATCCCTGTCCCTGTCGCCCCTGTCTCGTTCTCTCTCTCTCTCCCTCTCCCTGTCCCTCTCTCGGCTGTGCTCCCGTCGCTTCTCCCGCTCCAGCTGCCGGGTCCGTTCCCGCTCAGCTTCCTTTTCCCGCTCCTTTTGTTCTTCTTCTTCTTGTTCCTTTCGCCGCTTCTCGCGCTCTTTGGCCCGTTCAGCCCGCTCCGCCTCCTTCTGGACAATCTGGAACCAGGCAGAGAGAGATCAGCGGGCTTAGCCCTGTCCCCACAGTCCCGCCTTGCCCACCTGCATCTGGACCCCTGCACTAACTCAGGGCCACCTTCAGGTCTGCTGCAGGCTCCATGGGAAACGAAAACAAAACCCTAAGGCAAATGAGTGAAGGGGATGTTTCTGGCAACCACATCTGCCCTATCCCAAAGCATCCTTCTCCAGTCAGGTCTGTGCTTGCATACCAACAAAAGGGAGCTGCATCACCTGTGCCTAGCAACCCTCACCCTCAATGTGAACAAATTCTTATCCCCCCAGGACATAAGCTTAAAATCCCTAGGGGCTTTACCACCTCTAAAAGACTTTTGAAACAAGGAAATGTGTTTATAAAACTCAAAATTCTAAGTGAATTAGCTCTTAGTAAAATCAAGTTCCAAGGAGGTTGGCTGAACACACACCTTCACTCCTGCCTGCTCTGGCTCTTCACCTGGCCTCGTTCCCTAACCCTGTTTCATCCCCTTGTGAACCCAGCCTGGAGGCCACCTGGAGGTGGGCAGGCTTGAAGGGAGCACTCACCTGGCTGTCAGTGAGCGGGAGCCAGTAGATGCAGGGGGCTGCCTTGGTCTTGCGGAAAAGGTCATCTAGCAGCTTGGCGGGTGGTTCTTCCTGGGCTTTCTCTGGGGTGGACGAGAGCGCGAGTAAGACTGGGCCCCCTTCCCATCTGATAGTGGGGCATGCGCGCATCACAGCTCATACCTTTCTTTTCACTCTTCTTTTCTTTGGACTTCGCACGGTCCTTGCGGCGGCGGTCACGGGACCGTGATCGAGAGCGGGGCCCTTCTCGAACTTTGTCTCGATCCCATTCACGCTCTGACCGGGTTCTCTCCCGCCGCTCCATTTCCCGTTCCCGCTCTGCCCATTGTTCCCGCACAGCGCGTTCCTGCTCCCGCTGCTCTGCCCGGGGATGCTGTGGTGGCTGGGCTGGGGGCGGGGGCGGGGGGTGCAGGGGTCGTGGGACCCCTTGTTCCTCTGCTTTAGTTTCAGAGGGGCGATCCACCAAGAGGCCCCGGTGATAGTCCAGCTGTGGGTAGAGGAGAGACATGGACAGTCAGAATGGAGAGTAAGTCAGCACCGGACTCAGAGACAAGAACCAGAGTGGAGGGGCAAGTGGAGAGAACAGAACAGCAGTGACAGTGGGGCTGGCCAGGTGCTCAGCTGGCACCAGCAGAGAGCCAGCTCCCCTCCTTCCCCAGGTTTCTCACCTCATCTTGCTCGGCATAGTCAGCACACAGGAATTTGGGATTGGACTGAGGCCATTTGACCCCATGCAGAGCCGTGCGCGTAGCAACAGCTTCCTCTACTGTTGAATACTAGGAGAGAAAGGGAGAGGGCAGAGGGTCACAGCAGAGCCCCCAGCCCCTCACTTGTTCACATGGTCTGTCTGCCACAAAATCAAATGGACACTCCAAGAACCATCTTTGGCTGCTCACCGTTACAAAGCAGTGAGATTTAATCTTGTCGATCCAGAAGGCCTCTTCCACCAAGGTTCCAGTGCGCCCCAACAATTCCTTCAGTTGGCCTAAAGTGAAGGGGCGAACCTGCCGATAAAAATGGAACTTGAGGGACTTGAAAAGGGCAAGGACACCAGTCTTTACATTTCTTACGCTATTGCCACAGGAGCGCAGCTTCAAGGGGTTAAGGGATGGGTGTGAGAGTGGGAGCAGAGGTTACTAAGAAAATCAGACAGTGGACAGACTTGGACCTCATGTATCCTATGAAATCCACACCAGAATCACCTCACAAGGTGACAAGGAGACAGACAGAGAGGATGAGTAACTGGTGGGTCTAGCAGGTGAACCTAGGAAGTAGAAGCCCAAGGCAAACCAATTGCAAACCACTCAACTTGGCTGGAACTCGAGACACCAAGACTTACCAAATTGGAGATGTGGACTATCGTACTGATCTTGCCCCGGGGCGGGGAGGGCACCTGAACAGTTCGGACAGGATCATCAATTGTGATGGAAACTCCAGATTTCTGCTGGCTAATGGAACGGCGGGTTAAGGTATCTCCTAAAGTCACTAGCAAAATTGAAAAATAAAACACAACTTTTAGTAGACAGCAGTCACCTCTCACAGTTCTTAGTCCCTACTCCTCGTTCTACCACAGTCTGTGTTAGGCTATCTCCCCATGGAGATACAAAGATCAAACGGATTCAAACCTAGCCCACAGGTTGCTTAGAAGGAGGGGGAGGTAGGAGAGAGAAATCGCAAAAGACTTAAAGGAGAATTCAGGGAGCTAGAGAGCGGGTCACCCACCTTTCTTTACTTCATGCTCTACAGGTGGGGGTATGGCCACCTCTACAGAAACCTGTGGAGCTACAGGGGGTGCTGCTTCTGGCTCCTTCTCTTCTTCCTCTTCTTCCCTCTGCCCATTCTCCTGGCCCTCTGCAGGCACTACCTGTAAAGGCACCAGACAATGGCGGTCCCATGTTAAATACCGAGTTAGCATCTTCTTCTTGAGGGGAGAGATTTCTATTGAATGCTCTTCTTCCAGACCCTGGTATCGTGAGCGCTCCAGCTTTGCCCTAAGAAGATGAAGGCAGGAGCCAGCAAACATTTTCTATAAAGAGCAAGACAGTAAAAGCCTTAGGCTTTAATGAGTCTCGGTTGCAACTACATTATAATGATGTGGTGAAAAACAAACAACAAACAACATGGGTTCTGCCCCACGCCGACCCTGTAAGACAGAGCAGAAGTGCTCCGTCGGGTTTCTGAGTCTGAAAATCTTGTCCAGAGAAAGGAGCCCGAGACATAACCCACTACACCACCTCTAGAAGGAGCCACAGCAAAAGCCTAATCCCGACCACAGAGTCTTGGTAAATCTTTTTGGGAGCACCCAGGCTCATCTTTCTCCCTTGGAGAGGCTGGTTGGTTTGCCTGCTGACCTTGCAGTTAGCAGTCCAAAGCTTCCCACTGGGATTCCTTGTAAGCAGCCACAGACAAGGGCAAATAAACGTGTGGCTGTTTCAGTACAAGTGTGCTTACAACAGGCAGCAGGTGGGGTATGATAGTCGGCTATCTCCTGAAAAGGCACAAGACCACCTTAGAACGTAGGGGCCAATTAACTAGCCCTCTGCAGCTGAGCGATTTCCTTTACAAGGACTCTTGCCTTGCTTCCTCAGCTGCTGGATCTATGTCCACTGACAACCACTCCCAACCCCCAATAGGGAGTGCAGTGGCCTCACCTGAGTGACAGTCCGGCATATCTTCAGTCCCTTGTCATGGGTCCCGTCATCACCATTGCGCTCACTCTCATCCTCAGATATGCGGGAATCGTCAGCATGAAGATCCACAACAGCCTCCTGCCCCGCCAGCGGTTTGATGTCGGGGATGAGGCTCTGGGACACAGATACCCCCCACCCCGTTACACTGGGCCCATGCCCACTCCCACCGGAACATGCCTCATCCTCCCATCCCTGGCTCCCCCCACCTCACCTTGAGCGATTCAGTGGTGATGCTGAGGGAAGGTTTCTTCTGGGTGGTTGCGGTACTGGCTCCCCAACGGCGCTTCCGACCAGGCTGGCCCCCCTCTGTGTCACTGTTTCCAGCCGGCACCCCCTTGGTAGCTGCTGACCCCCAAAATAGGATTCAACTGTTAGCCTAGGGCACTCTTGCCGGTTTCCCATCCCAACACCCACCTGGCAGCCTGCGGGGCAGTTTTAGTGAAAGGCTAACTTAGGAAACTCTAATTGAAGACAGGGGAATCATGGCTTCAGAACTAACAATAAAATGACCTGAGACAGTTCTGGACTGATGGTCACTTTCAGGGGCTGACAGACCTAATGGGACTGGGAAAGTCAGAGTGAGGGAGCATGGGAACCAGAGCAAGACAACTGTATGATTATTAACATCTAAGCAAAATTAATTTAAAATGACTGTGTTGTGCCCATTCTTTAGGTTAATTCTTACATATTGACAATAAACTTCAAGTATATTTATGTCAATCTAAAATTAGTTATTTCCTGGAAAGATCTTTCAAAAATGCCACTGAGGTGTAAGGTGCTCTCCTGGAAAAAAGTTGAGCCCTAAGAACCCCCATAATTATAGAGGAGCCCCTCACAGCGACTCCTAGCTCTGAATGTGTGTTTATCTGATAGGTAACTTCATCTGGGTTGGAGGAAGAACATTGTCAACAACTCGAACTCATCTCAATTAGTTGGAAGAAAGAAATCTGACTGAGGCTACACGGGACTCAGAACATTTTTAAGTTTTGAATTTCAAATGGAACCCTGCATATGCCAAGATGATACAGATTGTCTGGGGCAGGCGGGGGTGGGAACAGGGTGAGAAAGGGCAACTCCAGAGAGACAGAGCAAAGAGGCACCTGTCTCTGTAGGAACCTGCTTTTAATGGCATTCCCTGACCTTCTAAGGGGCTTAGGGTAGACTTACAGACAACAGAGATCTTCCTCTTGAAAGACTTGGGCAGCGAGCTCTGTATGGAGAAGAACAGGGAGAAAAAAAAAAGAGAGAGAGAAAGAGACACACCCCACAGAGAGGGGGGTACGCGGTTAGATGGGGCGGTCTTATTAGGCTCCAAAGACACAGAGAGAGAGACACAAGAGACAAACAGAGACCAAAACAGAAGCGGCAAACAGCAAAAACGAAGCGTAATCAATGCAAGTTAGAGGGAAAAAACAAAACAAAACACAAAAAAACTAAACTAAACATCACAGCAGGGAAAGCTCATCTAGCCCATACCACAAGCTGTGTATTAGCTTAACCAGAAATAAGCGGGCAGAGCCAGTAGGGGAGCCTCCCAGGCCTTCATCTGGGTGGCCCACACCCTCTCTTCCTCTGCCTCTACGGGTCCAGCGGCTATGAAGCCCAGGGAGCCAGGCCCAGGATTCGGTTGTCTCGTCTCCTGGGCCTCTTCTGGCTGACATGAGGAAATCTGGAAAACCACTCTGGGATGGCAACTTAAACAAAGGAACCCTCTTCTTTTCTCTAGGCCCAGCCTGCCTTCCACTTACAATGACATGGAGTCCCTTGGGCAACTGCTTGTCAACCGCTCAGATGCCCACCCCCATTGTGGAAATGGGCAGCCCCACACCCACTGGAGAGGAGGCTCCTGAGCCAAGGCCCGGGGAAAGGAGTGCCCTTAGCAAAGGCAGACTGTGCCCAGGGAGATTCTCAGCCTTGCAACTTTCCTCAGTTCTGGCTGAGACTGTGTGCTCCAGTCAGAGATCTCGACTTAGGGCTCTACCAAGGGCCATAAGGCACTTGGGGGGCAAGTCCCACTCAATGGGAGAAACACTAGGGACAGAGCAAAAAGTGGGAGAGAAGGGAGAAAAGGGGTAGAGACTTACGTTCAAGTGCTTATTTCTGGAAAAACTAAGACTACCCTACTACCTTTTCTACAGGGAAGGGTAGGAGCCTCTTGCTGAAACCCACTTTTTTCTCATCCACCCCCCAGCCCTATTTGTGTCATCTAACCAAGTCTCCTTGGTCTCTGTTAAGGGCCAGCCTGACCCCCAGGCTGGGCTGCTCTTGATGGTTAAGTTAGTGAGAGAGTGAGAGAGAGAGAAAAGATCTTAATTAAAACAGGAAAAACATGAACCAAGTAAATAAATCCAATTAAGAAATCAGAAAAAAAAAGAAAGAAAAAAAATCAAAGATACAAAGGAATAAAAAAAAAAAAAGAAAAAGAAAAGAAAGAAAAAAAACTAGGAATATGACAAATGTTCCAGGTACCATCTCACACCTGGGATCTTCAGTTCAGCCAATCGCACCTCATTGTGTACTGTATCTAGTCAACCGACGGTCCAATCAGAATGAGCCCTCCCTGCTAGGCGCTGTGCAATTGGTGGGGGGTTGGGTTGGCAAAAAAGGTGGGCGCACGGCGTGGTGGTCAGCACGGCATTGCCAGAGTCCTCCCAGGGGCGCAGGGGGGGCGGGAGGGAAACGTGTGGGGAGACGCTGCCCAGTTTCCATGATGTCAAGACAGTTCACTGGTGGTGGCCGAGGCTCAACCAGGGATACAGGGGGGAAAGGGAAGCGAGATCAGTCCCAGCCCTGGAGGGGCATCATCTTGCAGTCCCTGATGAGATGGCCTTTAAGCTGCAGGCATGATCCTTGCCTTTAATTGTGAGAGGCAGGCTGGCCTGTATGTCCACCAGTGTCAAGGTGCAGCATGAACTTGGAATCCAGGTGATGACTCCAGAGTCCCTTCCTCCTCTGCCTGTTAACTGGTTAGATCCTCTCACCGAGTGGGATCATGGGAGTCTCTGATGAATGTAGCCTGGGGGTAGCAGGTGGGCACCCCCAGGACCTGGCACGAAATCAGCAGCAAGGTCAGAATGCTCTTCTTCTTAGAGTTGCGTGTGCCACCTCCTCAGGGACTCCAGCGGAGACCACGGTGGTTCCAGATGGAGAAGTTGGAGCAACCAACGTGTGGTCCTTCACCATGTACCACAGGAACCAGAGGAAAGTCCATCTGATGAGCAAGTGGCGACAGCCAGGCTGGGCTGTCACCAGTGTCAGGTCCCTAGGGCTCAGGCCCTGGACTGGTGCAGGGCTCCTAGCGGTCACTGCATCCGTCGAGCAGCCCACTCGGCATGGTACAGCATGGCAGGGTTGTCAACACAGGGACTCTTTGGGAGCTCTTGGTGCTCTAGACAGGGATCCCAATAGTCCGTAGCAAACAAGGCAACCCACAGTCCTCAAAAGGGCAAGGGTATGTGGCCAGGCGCCCCAGCACTGACACAGCTCTTCTTGGGGGTGTCCCAAGTAGGGAGATGATATCGGCAAGTCCACCCCACTCCACGTTTGTTTGTTTTTGGTTTTTTTTTTTTTGCTTTCTCAATACAAGTCTCTCCACAACAGTGCTCTTCTTGGGCCCCTGATGTAAGCAAGACAGGGAAGCAAAGGGGGCCCATCACAGGAGCGCATACATGCCCCCCTCTGGCCAAGACACCTGGATAGCAGACTCGGCTCTGGGCAGCTCAGTAGCAGCGGGTGGGTCCAGAGGTAGAGGCGGCATCAGCGATTGGCCAGTTGGGCAGGGTTATATTTTACGGGCGGATTATCGTACACGAGGTACTTGGACAAAGTTTTACGGGGAAGAAGGACCTTGTAATAAATAATATTCTGCACATCAAATCACTTTCACCGGCCCCCGCCCCCCGCAACACACACCAGAGAAAGGCTACACACACAACAGTCCCCCCACCCATCACCCGACTCCCAAACCAATCTACTTCTTTGTGTGTCCAAGAGCCAAGAACACTTTGCTGGCTCTGGTGGGGCCCTCTGAACTGGGTGCAGGACACAGGTGGTCAAAAAAGAGGCCTTCTGGATCACCCCAGACCCTGGCTTCTAGGTAGCTACATCTCTGCAAGGTGACCACTGGGGGGCAGACGAGGAGCACAAATTCCTCAACATGACTAGTCCAGAGAGAACCATCAAAAGCCACGAGATGGCGCTGAGCTCCATTAGGTTTTTAAAAAGGAGGGAAAGCTACAGCAATAGCCAGTCACCTGTCGAGCTCAAGGAGACAGCTGGGCCTGGGTCTTCAGTAAGGTCTACGGGCTTCTCAGTTACAAAGTTCCAGGAGGTGAGGTGAGGAGAAGTGAGACAAGACTACCCTACTCCACACCCACTGTCCCCAAATAAAAGAATAACCCCCATCGTGAGGGGTCACCCTTGCTAAACCAGGGACTTCTCCCTTGGCCTGCTCTGCTGCTCCTACCCCTCCTCTAACCTCTCCCCGTGTTGAGAGGGAACCCTTACTTTCCACTGTGGCTCCCCTGCCCGCCCGGCCCAGCAGGCGTCTTGGATAGTTACCTCTTTCTTCTCCTCATCCTCCGCACCCCCCTCGGGGCGCTCATCACTGCCGACTGGATCTGCAGTGGGCATGGGGGGCTCTGGCACCTCATTCTCAGCTCTGTTTTCAGCTGTGTCCATGTTCACTTCCTCCTTCTCCTCACTGACAAGTGTGAGGAGAGGTCCGGAGGGAAGGGCCGGGAAGAACCAAGGGGAAGAGAGAATGAGACGTTAGCTTTTAGGTGATCAAACGCCCCCCATGCCTCATCATTTGGGTGGAATTGGGGGCTAGCTGGCTTTTCAGGTCAGACTAAAAATTCCATAACCCCCCCACGGGAAAGTGGGAAACCGTTTTCCCTGGGGGGAAAAAGCATGGATCACCAAAACCACATCCTCCAGCAGGACACAGTTGTTACATGTGCAGACGGATTTCCAGTGCTCGAGGTAACTCACAAGAGCACTCTGAGAGGACAAGAGACAAGCCCACACAAGTGCTCATTCTGACCCACAACCCAGCCCCCTGGCACAATTTCTCTTGCAAAATTGCTTTAGAATCTTAAGGGAACCCTGATTTCCTAAAAATATGAGAAAGTATGGTCACGAACCCAACCCTGACTTTAATAAGCTGCCTATGAAGGCCAGAAGATGGTGGGGGGTGGCAGGGAGAAAAGGGAGGCTGGTGAAGGTTCACATTTCAACAAGGACCCTCTGGCTTCCAAAGAGAGCTGAGAGCCCAAAGACTAATCAGGCCACGTTGACCATCTCAGAGGGGCAAGAACCATTCTTACATTCAGCTTTCATTCCGATTCTCCCACTCACTCCTTCCAAGAAATACTTCCAGTAGCCCTCCCGTCAGGATACGGAACCCACTCACTCTGCCCTCTCAATCACACAAGTTAGCTTCCGTTTCAGGCAGAGTTCCAGAGATTCACTTCAGATAAACTACCTTCCGCCTTTTCCTGTCTTCATCCATAACTTCTCTCTCACCCCACCCCCACCCAAATACTGGGGAAAAATTAAATCAAGATGACCAGGGCCTAAGCTTCAACTAAGGGGAAGCCAAGCCTCCCCAGGCAGATAACCACCGCCACAAAACCCAGCATTCACGACGGGCAGACGCTCAGAGGTCAGAGCAGTCTTCCTGGAGCAGCCAGGGAGGGATGCACGGGAAAGGGGGAAGGGACGATCGGAACTGTGCCCCCAGCTAACGGGCCCCCACAGAAACCAATGAGTCAACGGCCTAAAATCTCTAGAACCGGCTGAACCACCAAGCACCGATTTCCCACACAGAGAGGGCAAGTGGGGCCAATTAGAAATCCGGCAGCAAGGACAAAGGGGGGAAGCAGAGTGGCTAAAAACCAACCCCAACGAAAGGCGGAATGGAGCCAGGGGCAGCAGGAAGATGAGGGGCTAGAGCGATGGGGGAAGGGAAACGTGGAAATGTGAAGCTCTCACCCTTCTTTGCTTTCTGATAACATGATTTTTTTCCTCCCCCTGGAAGTGCTGTTTATCCCTTTCTGGAATGGAAGAAATAACAAAAACCAAACAAAAAAAATCCTAAAAAAAAAAAAACCAACATAAAAAACACCCTCCTTGTTCCAAGACCCAACCACCTCCTCCCCAGCCCCCCGATCCGGAGAGAGAAAATCGAGATGAAGCAACTGGGGAATCCAAAAAATGGTATATGGAGGGGAGGTGTTGGTGGTGAGGGGAGGCTAAAATAGATCTGGCTTTTAAGAGATAAGCGTTAAGTCCTCACGGCAAACCCCGAGTTCGGCCGGACTGGTCTCTCTGGAGGAGGAGGAGGAGGAAGAGGGCCAGGCTGCTGGTAGTGGCTGGCTCTATTGTACTGGCGGAGCGGCAGCGATCAGCCGGAGACATGCAGAGGAGCCATCTTGCCACTTACCCAGCAGCCCGTGTGTGCGGATGGGGGAGGGCCCTACTGCAGCAGGGGAGGGGAAAGAGGAGGGAGGGAGGGAGCGGAGCGAGCAAGGCTCTTCTCCTCTGGCAGGCCTCAGGGAGCAGACTGCTGGCTCAATTGGCCTGGCCTTTTTCCTGCTTTTCTCAAGTTACAACAGCTACTGAGGCCTCACTCCACAGGGAGAAGGTGCTCTCTCCTGGTCCTCCCAGGAGGCAGGGGAAGCAGCTGGGTAGACAGGGCACACAGCTACAGCTGCTTGCCTGGAAGATTCCAGAGAATAAGAGGAAGGGGAGCAGCAGAGCTGAAGAGGATAAAGCCCAAACTCAAGTCACAGAGGAGGGGCACGAGCAATGTTTATGACCCACCGCCCAAGAAGCCAGAGCTGGGACAAGGTGGGGGTGGGAACTGGATGACCCACCACTATAGTACCTGGCTGTTCAACCCTGGCAATTGGCAATGATTACATGCTACTGCTTCTACCTGCTCTTCCTCCAGGGAAGATGAAGGGAAATAGGGAAGCTTCCTTTGAAAGGTCCCAGTAGGAATTGGGGGGTGGGGTAGGGAGAGATGACAGACAACTTTGTTTCATACAATCTTTAATAAGGTCACCCTGCCCCAGGGGTTCATTGGAGTCAGAAGGAAAAGGATAAACGGCATGGGGACCTTGGGCAGCTGAGGCACAAAGGCCACTTCTTGGAACAAGGACTCCAAGGATAAAGTGGAGGATTTCTGAAGCAAGAAGGGCTGTACTATGGGCAATGGGGGAAGCATCTGCTGGGCAGGAATTGGATTAGGACTCAGGTACTGTGTCAAATGTGAAGTGGAAGTTGAGCTACAGTCAATACATGTGGCCCTCCCTTTTAGACATAATCCCATGTGATATATTATCAATGACGCTGGCTTCTATGCCAATGGCTATACTCCCATTTTTAGAGAGGGAGCTCTCTGCTCTGCGAGTGGACAGGACTGAGATGGGACTAAGTCTCCACCTTAGCGTGTGTGAAGCAAATGCTCACCCTTTGTTTCCTTGGGGGAAGGGTCAACTGGAAAGACAAAAACCAGACCTTCATCAAACCCATTCCTCTGAGCATGACCCATCTGATAACCAAGGACACAGAAGTCCCAGGACCACTGGGAGAAAAACCACAGTGGTGGAGGCTGGTTCCAGAGGCACTGAGGCTACGACACTGTGCACCAAGGCAGGGCAAAAGAGCCAGGCTAAGACCAGAGGCTGAGGCAAGGAAACCAGGAGACAGAACAGGAGCGGTGCCAAGAGATTATGGGAGGACTATGAAGCAGAGTGACAGGTAGGCTTTCTGGTCCAAGGAGGCAGAGGACAAAGGACCGTGTGGCTAAGGGCCTGAGAGAGTTGGCTGCTGGCTGAGAAGAGGTGCATACACGGTCCAATGACTATATCCTTACAGTTTATTGATCCTGACCTGTGACCTGCTCTCTCCTAATAAGGCCCCATCACTGTGAGTACTGCAATGAAACCCCCAGCCGCAGAGGAGGCGTGCTCTGGGAGGGACGGTGGGAGTCAGAGTAGGTCACAGACGGAGGTGGCGGCATGTCTGACCTCTCCCTCCTGGCACGAGAGAAGTCAAAGGAAGTCAGCCCTGGCCATGGTCCTCTGCATCCCTGGCCGCAGAAGCAGACACGAGACCTTACGATGCTCAGAATGCCTATTTGATAGCCACACAATGGCTTTTACATTCAAGTGACACCAGAAGTTTCACACAAAGACAAGCTTCTGAGAAAACAGTAAGTCCAGAATTTCATATGTAGTATCAGAGCTTTCAGTCAAAACTAGCAATCCCCCACCCAACTGCTTTCTAAAAACTGAAACCTACATGCCAAACGCAGGCTAATGTGGTCACGTTTATATTTGACACGTTCCTCATCACATGGGCCGTCTCCAGAGAAGGAATGCTGCTATCAAGTGCGAGGGCTTTTGCAATGGTTAAAATGGTGGGTTTTAAGTGGTTCAGTAAAACAAGAGGGCTCTGGCGTCAGCCATAACCCACAAGTTGTCTGACAGTGGGCAAGCTTCTGTTCCTGTTTTGTTCTCCATCTGTGGAGGGAGGGTAGCATCTAACCGCATGCATAGCATCTGGCATAGTATGATTGAATTAATGTTGGCACTCAGTCTGCCTTGGACAACATCCAGTCGAGGTGAGGATATGCAGAAATAAGGCATTATCCCACTGGATGCCACCTCTGGAGTTTTTAACTTTCCTCAGAGGGCACTGTTCTTTCTCGAAGGTAAAGGCACCCAGTGACTGGGGATATGGTATTCCAAAAGTGCTCCTATCTTTCCTTAGAACATGTGCTGGTTGGCTTGCTCTCCACCCTCTGCCCCAAAGAGCTACTCAGAGGCACAGACTGCTTCCCTTGGCTCTCAGCAGAGGGCCCGACACAGAAATACTCAATAAAAACTTCTGTATTCAGGTACCATTACGGGTTAAAAAGTAGACACCACAGACTTGGCTGAGCTCAAAGCTGTATTCTTTTCCTCCAAAAAAAATAAGTTTGTGTGTGAGGGTGGGTAGAATCCCCACAGAGTGTTACCTTGGAACAGTTTCACATTATGTCCCTGCTCAAATGCCCTGAAATACTTTCAGCTCCCCAGAAGTAGTTTTCTTGGAAGGAGAATTGTTACTGAAAAATTTTCCAGAATTAAAAAAATCCCCATGTTCTCCCTGGCCTTCTCAAGCATAGCAAGCGTGTACCTCCTACTAACCCCACTACTCATTGGTAAGACCCAGGAATCTCCTAGTTTATTCGTGGAAGATAAAACGAGGAACCCCGTAAGTTAGCTCAAAAGAGAATGTATGTCAACGACTTGCAGTTAGCCTCAAAGTCTTGTTGGCTACATGCCACAGTCCCTCACAGCTTTTCTTTGTAGTCCCTTTAAGACAAATGACATCTCCCATCCCTTTTAAGGTTTTACGGAACAATGGCTAATATATTTGAATAAAATGCATGGACGTGCACTCTAAGTAAGGGAAGAGTTCTGCTCATTATTAAACAGTACACTTGAACTACCTGGAGGTTAATAACATCATATTATAGTTAAAATTTAAAATGTATAAAACACCAATGTCCATAGGCATATATGCTGAAATTCTAGCTATTCTGTAAAATCACGAGGAGCTAACGAAATGAAGTAAAAATTCACTAAAAAAAATCGTGAGCTCTGACTACTCTTGGGCAGTGAGCTTTAACTATAGAATACCCTTAGGAGCATGCCCGTTCCAAGAGAGCCAAGGACAGTTTGCTTTGGGGTGTTGGTGCTTTGGTACCTTTTTCTCAGTGAGCAAACTATTGATGATAAGAAATCTGACTTTTTCAGTATGATTCATTTGGGATATGGACATTGTAGGCCCCTGGAGGATTGTCAGTTACAATGTCATATTGACTTAAAGAATCATTTCTTTCCTTCTACATAGGCAAAAGGACAAAATCCTATTGCCTGTTAAAAGGCTTGTCCAACTACCGCTGAGTGATGTAGATGTCCACATGAAGATCCCTTCCCCGCCCCCACCTTCCCTTTGCCAGTTATTTTTTAAAAATATAGCAAGAGAGTAGCACCATTATTTCCTGCTGCGTGAGAACATTTTTGGTATGCTCATGGCAGGGTGAACACTGAGTTGTGGACCAGGGCTCCCCACTGAATAGGACAGAGGGCTCACAAATACCTGCTCCTTACCTCAGACACCTAGCATTCCTCGGGCACAAGCAGAATCAGAATGGATTGATAACCAAGCACAGCAAAAAGTGAGGTCATTTCTTCCAAGTGATGAGAGGTCCTTGTCGTAAAGTCTTTGCTACATTGACATAAATCACTGCTGGTTTTTAAGGCCTTTACCAAGATTAAACCACAAATGGTCTTTCCCATTTAATATGGTTGGTCCCACTCGACAAACTTCTCAAAGATTCATGTACCTAAGTTTAGGCCTTTGGGTATGTCGTTTGGCTAGGCTGCTGACCTCACCATCTGGCAGGCAGAGAGAGGGAAAGCCGGTAAGAGGAGTATGTGCTAGCAACTTCGGAGCTCAGCTTGTCTTTCCAAACTTTACATCACTCCCCTGAAGCTGGCCTAAGGTCAAGGGGCACTCTTTTGTATTTGTACAAGGTTATCACCTTGTGAAAAATCAATGTGACTAGATTACCTCAATCATAAAATGAAGATCAAAGCCACCTTTACCTGGGGGAGAAAAACTGTAGTCATGTGCTGCATAGCATCTGTTTGGGCAACACCCAACCATCTGTATATCCGTGATCTAGTTCAGGGATTCATCCCTAAGTCTGTTTTTAAGTCATATTTACAGGTCAGTCAGAACAGATATATATAGGTGAGTTAAATGTAGTATATATTTTCCATTTCTATGATTATCAAACACTGAACACTTCCAAGCCTCAGAATCTTTTTATGAGCATCACAAAGAAGTGTGTGTGTCTGTTACCATAAATCACTGAATCTATGTAACTCAGACTTTCAGAGTAATGTGGAAGTCTCATGGAAGTCTGCTCCTAAGCCAGACTGCCTGTACATTGTTTGCACTAACATCCTTATCACAAAGCATCCTATTTCAGAGATGTACTGTGGATGTTATGCAACTCATGACCATCACGCCAAGCATCAATCGCTTTGGCCTTATTGGGAAAGTCCCTAAACAAAGTTAAGTATTAAGAGCTTTCCCATTAGGATCTCATAGACTCACAGAATTTTGGTGCTAGAAAAGCGTTTTTTCAGAAAATTACTGGTTTCTCAAGGTCAGTAAGAGACCTCAGGCCCAATTAGTATCAGGCTGTTAACACTCCTGTGAAAATGGGGTTATACAAAGGGCAATGCTATACAGCCCTAGGAATGGGGAGCGGGGTAAGGGGGGGAAAGGAAGGGAGGGAGGGAGAATTGGCAGGCAGTATCTCTGGTTGATGCAAATGGAAGGGAAGATGTCAGCCCAATTCCTCATCGATGGTGTAGCTGGGGAATCCTGGAAACCTTCCAGAATCCGCTGAGTTTTCACTTTATGCTCCTAGAAGAAAACCCCTCTCCAAAGAATAATGTACCCACCCCCTATGGCGAAAAGGAAAACTTTTCAAAGGACGTGGAGCAAACTCTTGGCTTTACAACAAATAATAGAATGGCCACAGGGTGGCAGCAGAGGCAAGGATGTGAGAATGGAGAAAAGTGAGGGTCAAGCCCAGGGAAAAAGCTAAGTCAAAAGAGTGTAAACTATCATTAAAAACATTAAGAACACAGGAAAGGAGATAAATCACGTCAACTACCCACAACCCTCAAGACAGTCTAAAGAAAAGTCTCAGTTATGAGACTACGATATATATGAAATCATCATAATGGTGGCAGAGCGTTAAAGGAGCCCTGGTGACTCGCTGGGTTCAGTGCTGGGTTGCTAACACCAAGGCCAGCTGTCTGCTCCTGACAAGGCGCACAGTCTCAGAAACCTTGTGGAGCAGTTTTACTGTCTGCTCCTGACAAGGTGCAGTCTCAGAAACCTTGTGGAGCAGCTTTACTCTGTCTGACAGGGGCGCTATCAGTTGGAACGGACTCAACAGCACTGGGAATGATTTTGCTATTGTTAAAATGACATGAAAATAAGGAGGAAACAACTTTAAATCAACTGTCTACAGAGGATATCCTCCAACAAAATCCAGAATCTGTAATGTCCAAACGCCAAGCAATCTTATTTCCACAATGCTTTGCTTTCCCAGTTCCCATTGGAAGCTTCATCAGGAGCCTCTGAAGCCAAGGATGGCTTCTTAGTTTTAACACCTAGCTCAGAATGACAATAATTTGCTCAATTACAAATTTAACCTGATACAGAAGTACTTAAGATTGAATAAGATTTAAAAACTTGTAATAATTACAAAGTTGGTAAGAAATATCAAAGGATCTTAGGGGCCCAGGAATAAACTGCGACTACTGCATACTTCCTAATGAGGATAGGCTATGCTTACCAAAGTCGAGGTAATAATGTGGGCAAAAAGCACAGTGCTGTGCCCTTCTTTATAAACTTATCAACATCCTTATTAGACGGCTTTTCTCGGCTCAGCCAAACTGGGAACTGTGAGTTCAGAAATAATTTATTATGCTCCGAGTCAACTCTCTTACGATGAGTTTGGAAGCAGAAGGCTGCACCATAAGGGAGTTAACTGTTTTGGTTAGATGATCCCAGATGTGAGTTTGCTTCTACCCTCACTACCACTTTTCAATCTATCTTGAGTTTCTGGCAGTTGCTCCCAACATAGTAATGGAAGTCTAGCTTTCGTCCAGATAAAGCTCTACCTTTTTGTTTTAAAAGGAAACTAGAACTGCGTATTCAAAGAATCCTAGGGAGCAGAGTTGCCCCTCACTCCTAGCTCCTTATTGGACCCCAGTTGAGAGATGTCACTTACACAGCATGCTGAATCCTTTCTGATCCTGGCTGCTGAGGGGTCTGAGTCTTTGAGGTTTGGGGCTGTACAGCAGCTGGTGGCTCTGCCTCTTCAGCTTCACACTTCTTTGGGCTCCCCTGTCAGGAGATAGTGAAAACAAACATACCAAAGCATTTTACATTTCATTGCGTCTCCTTTTCTTTACCCTGGAGCTGGAAAAAGGCACAGAAGGACACACAAGAGTTTATCATCAGCTCCATACATAGCTTTCACATGTATCTTACTCCACTTTAGAAAATGGAACGGAACAAACCCAGGGACAAGGGAACAACAAGCGATCCAAATTGGTGGGGTGGTGGGTGTGGGAGACCTGGTAGGGCAGGATCAAGGGGAATGTAACAAAGAGGAAGTGCTGAAATCCTGGTGGGGACTGAGCATGATAGTGGGACAGGAG